ATCTACATGACACCACCAAACATCTCCCAAAAGATGATTAGGCTACTGTGTAAAATGTAAGAGGAGTTTGAGAAATAAGAGTGTGACAGACGGACGGACGGACGGACAGACATGAGTAACAACAATATACCCGAACTTTCTTTAGAAAGTGCGGGTATAATTAGTAATAGCAAACAAATATATGAAATTAATAATTTTAAACAAAAACCAGGAGAATATCTCCTTAAGAGCCCTCTATACACTGCACACAGAGATTTCTGATTTTGTGGTGTTTTTATGCAGATAGAGTGATCTGCCTTTTGATCAAGAATAATATAAATGGAATGTACAGTTTATTACTTAATTTGTGATCAAATCAAGCATTCATAACACTTTAATAGGCCAAGATGAATAGATAGAACACTTCATTTGCAGATATTTTTCCCACTTAAGTAAACAACAGTCATTTATGTTCATCAGTACTTCATTATCTTTGAATATTTTTATTGGAGGTAAATGCAAGGCACCCTATGTTGAAAATGTGATAGATAAGCACCTTTACACACTATAATTTTCTCAATGACCAAAAAATATTTTCCTCTAGTGTATAGAGGGTCCTTAAATTATTAAAGCAAGTACAGGGCCGGTCCATGTCGATTTTCGAAGAATTACACTTTTTCATTGTCCTTATAACATCGCGAATTCGTAAACAAAAATCTTAGTCTAATTGCACGGCTCGGCTCAGAGGATAGGGGGCTGAGCAGCTCGTCCGGGAAGGCCACCACCTTCCTCCTCTTGCCGGTCACCAGGGTAAAGTCATCGTCATCCTCGTCGGCCATCTCAGTGTCCCCCCAGTTGGGAGGGAGCACCTCAGTGTCCCCTTGAGACGAGATCTAAGTCCCGCTCAAAATCTCCTGTACTAGTGAGTCGCCCTCTGACTCCCCCGCAGCGGAGAGACCCCTATGGTCCTCCTTAGCTGTGTGTGAGGGGTCAACCGATGTTGACTTCTCCTGGGGATTGCTGTCATCCCCAATCTTAGTAGGGGAGTCTGACGGCTCCTCCTGGGACTTGCCAACAGCCCCACTGTCCTGGGGACACTCCTGTTACCCATCAGGTTTACCGACAACCTGTTTTTCCTCACCCTGGGCCTTATCAACAGGCTCAGGCTGTCCAGGCTTGCCAACAGCTCTATTTCCGTTCTCAGGCTTGCCACGGCCTGGAACTGGACCGCCGAAGCATAGCTCCGGAGCCCAGTTATCATCCTGGTAGTGTGGGAGCAGTCTCCCCTGAGGTGACCCATCTGGCCACACCTGAAACATACGGGAGGTCGACCCTGAACAGCATAAAGGCATTTATGTCCGTATATTGAGGTAAGATACGGAATATGTTTCTGGTCTCCCTCCCGCACGGTCAAGGTCACGCTCCGGACACCAGTGAGGATGTTTCCATCTGTAATGTATTCTATCTTAGTTATTTCTCCATACCTATGTAAAACTTTCCTAATTTCCTCGTTGGTGACCCAGGTTGGAAGCCAGTGAATTTTTAGTGCCACTCGTATCCTATCGCAGGCCTCCATTCTGATGCGTAAATCTCTCCCCTCTAAGAATTCTTCACCGTCATATCGGTCTACCGTTTCTTTGTCCTCAAACGTAAGAAACCAAGTATCTTGACGCTCCATCGGTTTTATAGAATCAATGTCGCACAGATAGGCCTAAAAATGCAACATCCTCCTAGATCACACGCTCACCTTTAAATTTGACTTCTGTATAGCGATTGCATATTTTACCTATCCTCAAACGTCTTTCTTACCCATACTCCGTTTTTCTAAATGCGACGTACTGTCAACGTTTTCCATTCGTATTGTCAGCGTTTTAAAACTGTTAAGATTATTGAAAAATAGAAATGAGAAATGATTAGCAAAGTATGAAAAAAGAGAGAAAGAAATGAAAAGGAAGAAACAAAAATAAAGAATAATATAAAAAATAGCAGTGTCTAACTCCTCCCCCCCCCCCCTCTACCCGTTTGAGTTCATTTTGTTGACTTCTTTTGATTTATTTAAGAAATAATAATAGTAATAATAAATATATATGAAATGCTTCTCAAACTTGCGTATCATCCCTTCCCATTCCTGCTCCGCAATCTTTATGGTGAGTACCAATTTTTCGAACAATCAGATTTTCTCCCTATTCCAATTTACTCCAATTTATTGCAATTTTATTGCATTTCTATTCCAATTTTTTCCAATTTCTGTTGCCTCAAGCAATCAGAGCGTTTGGTTCTAATTTCAAAAATAGGATAGACACTACACTAAAAAATCGCAGAAAATAGAGAAAATATGAAGAGGAAAAAAAAAATCAAAAAAATTAAAAATATGGAACGCTTCACGAATTTGCGTGTCATCCTTGCCGCGGCAAGGACGGTACGCAATCTTCGTTGTTTTATTCCAGTTTCCCAGCTCCCATAGAGAAGGGGGGATGAAGATTAATTGATTGTATGTTATTATACATCCCGTTCGAGAATTTTTCACTGATATAGAAACGTCACCATATACCGGTGAAGAGCTTCAAATTTAGACCTTTACACGGCACTCGGGGCCATTGAGCAGTGAGGGTTCTTTATCATGCTAACGGCTACCATGACACGGGGCCTCGGTTTTTATGGTCTCATCCGAAAGACCCGCAACTTTCACATCAAAGTGCCGAGCGCTTGGCGAAGGAACAGTTGCTACCTGTTATTTATCGACTTAAGACAGTCGCGGCCGTGATTCGAACACACTACCTGCCGATCACGGAGCGAGCGCTCTACCGGGGGATGAAGAGAAAAAGAAGGGAAATTTCGGGTCGCCGCTAGGGGCGCTCATAAAAGGTTATTAATGCGGCTTTTTATATCTTTTTAGAAAGTTCTGGCTGCATTTAGATTTTAAAGGGATTTGAATAGTGATTTTGGCTGAATTTTTGTTATATAATATGGGGTTCATTTCTATACCCTTTAGACTTTTTTTTGTCCCCCGCTTTCACTGAAAGTGGGGGGTATTAATTTGGGTCTGTCTGTCCGTCCGTCCGTCTGTATTTCTGTGTGTCTGTAACACTTTCGTTTCCGCGCGATATCTCGAGAACCGTTTGAGCTTTCGCAATGAAATTTTGCATAACAACTCCCTATGGCCTAAAAAAAGAACCCTATTTATTTTGAGGTCAAAGGTCAACGTCATAAATTCTGTCTGTTTTAACACTTTCGTTTCCGCGCGATATCTCGCGAATTCTTTGATCTTTTACAATGAAACTAGATGAATACCCGCGCAAGCGCGGGAGAAAAATGAAGGGAAAACTATGTTATCAGTACATACACTAAAATGTTTAAATAATTGATTTATTCTAGATACATGTAATTAATATCAGCATTACTTGCTGTTGTGAAAAAAAAATTGTGTGAAGAGGTTTATGAATGTACATGATTGATAAAATTATCGGTTCTTCACATGAATTATCATTTACAGAGTGCAAAACTTAACTGAAGAATTTGCAATCTAATGCAATGTCAACGTTTTTCATAAATGTTTAACTACTTAAACCCTTGTGCCCAAAAGAGATGTATATCTGACATAGTGTGTTTACTTTGTAGTTTTGATATAAAATATGATTTAGTAGAAGAATTACAAAGAAACTATAAGTAATATATTATTTAATCCTTTTTAACTCAGGTGAGCAATTTTGGTTATGGGCCTTAATTTTCTTAAATGTTGCATTGGAAAATTCCTTTAACTCATGCAATTTCTCTAATAAACATCTTGTGTATAATGGTTTGTCTGATATTCAAATGTTAAATATGTATAAAGTAACAATAAATTGAAACTTTAGACATTAAAAATATGTTGTTTGATCCATTTTTGGCTCGTTTTTAATCGCGCAGTTTGCTGAACATATGCAACTTCCTAATGTTCACATGTATGTCTTTTTACTTTTTTCTGATGTTATGGGTAGTGACCTATAAATTTCTGTGATTATTCAGTATGTTAAACTATATTCAATGGAAATTTGTTGTTTTTCTACTCTTAAATACTACTATAAAACTTTGAGGTTGGAAACGTCTTAAGGTACTTTCATCTTCAAATTTGTGGGTTTAAAATAGAAAGAAAACTATACATTTATTTCCATTTTAATTTAGTTTAAAATAATCAATAATTGCAGAAATGTATAGGTCACAATCTTTTTTACAATGCAAACGTAAAATATGTAAGAATAAAAATGGCATATTTTTGATACAGCATTAATTAAGCCCACACTTTATAAAAGTTATGTCCCTTGAAAGCCAAAAATTTGGGGGGGGGGGGGGGGATCCCACAGTGGCCTTTATCACACTTTGAGGTGTGTAACTTGAAAATAACAGTAATATGTGGCTTGTATTTTGATCCAAGGATAGGGCTACTATACACTGAAAAAAAAAACAAACAACAAAAAACAATAGAATTTTAGAAGTATGCACTATGTTTGTCATGTTAAGAGAAACATTTTCTTCTTGAGGATTTGGTTGACCTGAGAAAGGAAATTTTTTTGGCAAAATGTTGATTAGACCAGCATTCCTCAATAGAAAGATATAAAAATAATGAAGTTTGTTATCTTTCATAATTCAGCTCTTCCTATCAAAACACTGCAGTGAGTAACTTAGAGAGGGCTAATATTCCTGAATAATCAGATTTCTGGACATAACTGTACATGTATTGATGAATTTACTTAATATTCAGCATTTCTTATCAGAACTCCTATATACTCTGGACGATTGATTCAACTTGCATCTTGAATACTGAGAGGCATATATATACCACATGCACCTATGATACAGGAAATATAATGAGTATGTATTAAGCATGTATTAAAAAAAACTGCACACCTAATGGTATATTTAACTTCAACGATAGGAATCAATACTCTAATTCAATCAACCCTAAGGAAATATTTAAAATTTCATGTCTCAAGAAAAGAACAGAGAAAAAAAAATTTTTGGTATTTTTTAAAACAAATAAACATCTAAAGAAGTACATCTTTGTATACTACATTGTCAGTGTAATAGCAATCAAGACATTGTAGATTAGGTAGTATCGACACTGAGTCAAAAGATCTCACTCGAGATAAAGCTACATAAAGTTGTCCATGGGTAAAAATTGGTTGAGTTAAGTCTATTCCAACATAATCTAAAGTCTGTCCCTGACATTTGTTGATTGTCATTGCAAATGCTGGTCTAACTGGAAATTGACGGCGTTGAAGTTGAAATGGTAAACCTGAATCTGATGGCGTCAACGTAATCCGTGGTAAGAACACCATTTTCCCAGAATGTTTTCCTGTCATAATTTTTGCCTCAATGATGCGGCGACCAAGATTAATTACAGCTAGCTTGGTTCCATTTAAAAGACCTTCTTTGGGGTTTAAGTTTCGTATGAGTATAATCGGAGAATACTTTTTCAAGAACAAAGAATGGAGTGGCAAACCTGAAGGTGTCAAAGAATTAAGAAATTCTGTTGGATATATGTATGTTTCTGAAGGGTCGTGAACACTGTCTGCACTTAAGTAAACTTCACAACTGTCTGATTTAAATGCTTCCATAATTTTCTGGTTGATAAAGTCTACTCTTTCATTAGTTGCTGACAAAATAGCTCTGTTGCATATTTCTTGATCGAAGGCCTTTTTACCAAGATCTGGGTACACTCTTTTTATCAAATTGTCTAAACCGCATTCATCAGGTGCAATACAAATTTGAGCAGGGAGTCTAATTTTTGAAATTCCTAGGTGTGAGTAATACTCCTCAGTACCATTTCCTATCTTAAGAAGGAATTTTTCAAAAGAAGTATCGACATTCGAAACACCTTTTCTGGTATTAAACGTGTGCACTCTCATATTTATGGTCAACTGTAGTTTACATACGTGAGTCCATAGAAATGAGTGTTGAAGGCTGCTGAATATCACATCTGCTTGTGAGCCATGATGGATAACTGGTAAAACTTGTCTGAAGTCTCCTCCAAGGAGAACAATTTTTCCTCCAAATGGATTTTCACTTTTCATAATGTCACATAGTGTCCTATGCACACATTCAAACACGTATCTGTGCATCATTGGAGCCTCATCCCATATAATTATTGAGGCATTTCGGACTAATTCTGCTAGAGAACTCTGTATTGGTATATTGCATGTACTTGTATCAAGTATAGGTATTGGTATTTTAAATCGTGAATGTGCTGTACGACCACCATCTAAGAGCTCTGCAGATATTCCTGAGGAAGCTACTGCTAATGCGATATTACCAATAGATCTTATTTTTGCTAAAATTGTGTTGTAAACAAACGTTTTTCCAGTACCTCCTGGTCCATCCAGAAAAAAAAGAGTGGATTTGGGTGCGGGTGAGAAGACAGCTTCAATTACTTTATTGTAAACTTGAATCTGATCCTTATTCATTTTACGTTCATGATCCAAAACGACAGCACATAACTCCTGTGTACTGTAAGATAATTCCTCCTCTATGATATTTGGTATGTGTATGTTGGTTGGAACTGTAGCAAACAATTCAGACATCCCTGGAAAATTATGCAATGTCTTTCCATGTGCTTTTAACTGATCATTAATAAGAAGCAATGTTTTGTAAAGTGTAACTTCATCAGAGTGGTAAAAATTATCTTTACATCTTCTTAAGTCATCGGAAAGTTGGACGTAGAACTCATTCCACAATTTCACAGGTTCAGCTGGTTCACAAAACAGTAAAATTGTTGCAAAAAGTAAACGTAACTGACTGGGAGATCCTGATAATGCTGCTTCACTCAGACATTCAATCCATTCCTCATCATTTTGAAGGAATCCCCTTTTCAATGCTGTCTCTTTATATGTGTTACAAACTGTACCATCATCTAAAGTTAATAAATCCAGGAAAGATTTGCAGCCAGGACTGTGATGAAGTAAAAGTCGAAGAAAAAATCTTTCTCCTTCAATAGGACTGGCAAGATACAATCGTCCAATAGTGTTCCCTGATTTTCTTTTTTTCCAGGTGCATGCTGAAGCATTCCATGTGAAGTGCTCTGGAAATAAATGATAAGGAATATTTCTTGCTTCTGGAATTTCCTCATTTGCTTTAAACCAAGCTGTCAAAGTTGTGTCTTTTGAACTTTGAAGAGCTTCCTCTGCTTTTCCTTCTTTATAGAGCACAGTATGTTGTCCAGGAAGGTGTACTGCAAGTCGTTGAACTGCAGGCGATCTGTCATGAAGATCATAATGAAAAATTCGCCAGCATGATTCTGAAGCAGAAACATATCTTGCATCAACATAATTTTGTATTTCATTGTGTTCATCAGATTGAATGCTAGCCATAACTCTATCGTGTCCTTTATAAACATATTTGTACAAATATTTCACAGCAGTTACACTTGAACATATCTCAACATTTATATGAGCAGAGTACTTACAGCAAAGGTAAGGATTATATGGAACAATCCAACGATTATCAAGTATAACACCATTCTTCTGAACTGATGAACCATTGTTACGTCTTTTGTACATAGGATATCCATCTGGTAACTGTACAGTCTGTTCACAAAACTCTTTTGGATATTTTTTAGAACATTTTCCATCCTGCATGCATGGAGATTTGGGGTTGGCAAGTCCACAGGGACCATGAATCATATGTTGGGTAACAATTTTGTACAATTCTGGTGTTGTTGTTTGGGAAGGAATTTCTGCTGTAACATACATATTGTAATCATCAGAAGACTTAGGTTTACATGTTGGATGCAATATTAAAAGTATATGCGCATGGGGTAAACCTCTTTTCTGAAATTCAATGGTGTAGACAAATGCGATAACTTTGCCAAATATGTTTTTCAGTGTAATGTCTTTTAAAAGATCTTTTAGCTTCAAATGAAATACACGTGCAACTAAGTCTGGTCGATCAGTACTTGTCTGGCCTGACAATACGTTTCTTTCAATATCTGGCCACTTTGGATTACATGTAAAAGTTATAAAGAGGTCTGGTTTCCCGTAACGTCTTACAATAGCCATTGCATCTTGATACATTTGATGCATGTGTCTCGGACTGCCAATAAAGGATGATGGTAATATAATCTTCTTCCCAGTATGTTTACCGTCAGTGTCACCTGATTGTACAGCATCAGCAAGTCCTTGGTATAGTTCGGAACGTAGTTCGTTCTGATGAAATAAACAATAGTTTAATCGCTGTTGCTCTAATTTTGCATACTGATCTACAACATATTGATGAAAGAGTCTTCCACCTCTCAAAATAGTGTTGAAATTATTTCTTTGCATCATGTGATAAGCATAAAAATTCATTACTGAAGTTTGTTTAACAGTGTTTTTGTGCTGAATTCCAATTGTCCACCCTGCATCACCATAAGGGAATAAAAGAACATAGTGTAATGGATCATAATGTTGATTCGTCTCATTGATATGAAGAATTTTTTGACCATTAGGGTGATATGTTGCACGCTCATACAATACAATGTCTCTGTTGGTTGGTTGATATTCTGATGAGCCTGGAATTATAACTGACAATTCAGAAACTGTTGGCAAATTGTAACGTCTTGGGTCTTTAGAGGTGTCCGCCTTCAAAATAAGCTTCATATTTAGAGTTTTGTTCTGTTTTGTAAATATTTCAGTTGTATGTTTGAAGCATTTTGCAAATGGATTGTACTGATGCAACATACTTTGTAACTGTTCAAGAATGTTTTTATTTAAATCAGTGTTCCAGCAAATTCTGTTGTTTGTTTCATTTTCTGTATCATATATGTATATTTGTGAGAATTTCGGGCGTTCTCCTAGTTCTGGGAAAATATGTCCTATTCTATGGTAAACTGAACCATGGATCCGAAATGTATATGGACCTTTTGATGGCAGAACATCTTCATTAACTCCTAGGGATGCAAAAGCTAAACTTGAATTATAAGCTCTTATGTTATGACGAAATTCTTTTCCCTCGTCATCTTCACCTGTCAATAAATGTTGCAGTAATAAAGGTGGGTCACTGATTGTTGGCAATAGAATTTTTCCTTCTAAACAACATCTTTTCTTTTTCATTCAGTTCTTCTAGTAATTTCTGATGATCATTTCTTAACTTTTTCAGTTCACTTTCATGGGTACAAACATCTCTTTTAATCTTTTCTAGTTCAGTCAAATAATTTTTAAATTCTAGTTCAATTTTGTTTTGCATTTCTCTCACTTCCATAAGAATATCAGGCAAGGAGGAATGTTCTATCCAGAATGTTATCCCCATGGTACTTTTAATCAGTTCATGTTGCAGTCTTTGAAACTTCAGGTACAACCTTTGGATCTGGCAGTGATTTGGAATATTCTGAAAAAAAAAAGAAAAAGAAAGTAAATATTAAATATATATGAGAGGTACAGTATTTAATTTTTATTCTGTATCTGTTGTCAATATCAACCTGGTATTTTACAAAAAATAAAAAAAGGTCTGTGATTAAATACCAGATATCAAATAAGACCCCCCAAAAATCCTGTAACATTTTCGAAAACAAAAACAAAAACTAATTTTAAATGGAACGTCAGGCAAATCGCTACGTTTTTGACGTAAGTCATTGTGACGAAGACAACCCAATTTATACGACATAAAGTAAATTTTTTATTCAATCAGAAACATCGTTATAAACAGAATTAAATTATATTGAAGAGCAAAATGTAGGAGGAGTTGCAATTTGAAAGTATTTCACAAAAATTTATATTTTTAGTGACCACAGTAACACCATTCATCAAAATCAAAAACTGATAGATAGAATTATGCATCTTAGTGTAGTCTACTTGATTGTCAAATTATATTGAAATCAGACCAACACTGTAGTAGGAGTAGTGTTTTGAAAGTATTTCACAGAAATTTCTATTTTTAGTAAGCACAGCAACACCATTTATCAGACTCAAAAACCGATAAACAGAATTATGCATATTAGTGTAGTCTACTTGAGCGCTAAATTATATTGAAATCAGACTAAACCTGTATGAGGAGTAATGTTTTGAATGTATTTCACAGAAATTTCTATTTTAAGTAACCATGGCAACACCATTCATGGAAATCAAAAATCGATAAACAGAATTATGTATCTTAGTGTGATCTACTCGTGTGCCATTTTATTTAGAAATATCCCAGAATTCCTTTCACCATGGAGAAAACATGTAGGTGATCAAGATTTAGTTCTTGCAGAGAGCTTAAAAGGAAAAAAAATTCTCTTCATAAGGCCTAAAATAAGAATTTGTTTGTTTGCAGTTGCCTACCGACACACTGAAAATATACCTAACCCAAACTTTTATTAAGCCATTTTGTAACATTATTTTTTTTTTCAATTTTCCAGGATATTGAAACTGTTTCATTTTTATTTTTATTTTTATCAATCAGTAGTTTATGATAAGAGTGGAGTTTATTCATGTTTAGCAGACCTATAAAAAGTTCTATTATTTGTTATCTAACAAAAACCTGAAAACTGAATTTTTTTCCAAAAAAAAAAAAAAGAATGCCTACGTACCTACCAACTCTAAAAATTATAGGTTGTCAACTGCAAACAAAGAATTTTTAAAGCTTGGCCTAATATATCAAATTTGATGCCTTTTGTTAAAAATTTGAACTATCAAGTCTCCATTACAAATGAAGGTGGTCACCCACATGGCGCAGTGGTAAGAGCATCTCCTATAGAGTTGCAGAGTAAGGAGTTGATCCTTACATCATGTGTTCAAATCCCACTGTGGGACATGGAGACCGGTCCTTTGGATGAGACCATATAAATTGAGGTCCCTTGCCGCAGTAGGTGTTGACACGAAAAAGATCCCTCACTGCTCAATGGCCCCTAAGTGCCAAGCATAAGTCAAATTTTGCAGCTCTCCAATGGCAAGTGGTGGCATATCCATAGGAGTGAAAAATTCTTGAGAGGGACATTAAACAACAAACAAAAATTAAATGAAAGTGCAACAATTACATGTTATAGTTTATATGTACTGTACCATAGGTGAATGTGACTTTTAACCTGCCAATGTAATGATTTTGAAGAAGCAGATCTAACTTAGATATGCATACAAAAATATTTGATGGCATCTGGAAATAAATACAACTACAATTGTCATTACTATAGCACCATCAACATTATTTAACATTTGGACAGTTATTTGCTTTATGATATTCCATTAATATAGCATTTTTGTGATGTACATTTCTTTCAGTAAATGTATATTAAATATAGCATATAATGTATGCAAAATTAGTATATACTATATCTGCATAGTTGCATTGGCCTAATAAAAATATTGTTTGTTGCCCTTTTCCAACTGACCCATGGACATTATATTTCTTTTTCCGACTTCAATTATTTCCTTTTAATCTAGTATTTTTTGTTTTCAAGATAACTCATTTGATACCATTCAATATGCTTCTTCAGGGACATAAATGTGTTGGTTATTAAGATTAATAAAAATTTGAATTTTTTACCTTTAACAGGGAATAGTGAATTTACAGGCTGCTTTGTGATGTAAGACATTCTATTTTGCATGAAGATGTATCTGTATATCTTTAGATGGAAAAAAAAAAATTTCCTACCTACCCAATATTAAAAGCTTAAATGGATTGGAAAAGTAAATACCGGTAGATTAAATATAAAAAAGAAATTGCATGCCTCATCAGTTACTTGTGCCATGATGCATATTTAATTTTTCAAGTACAAAGTCAGTAATAGGTATCAATAAATGATGAATTGATATAAGCAATTTATTTTTCATGGTACTTAAACCATATTTGTATGATGTCAACTCTTCCTCCTCAGAAAATCCACAGAAATAGAGCAATTGGCCACCACTCGCCCTATGCATTTATAAACCCCTTGTTTACATGTACATAAATGTGCATGAGCATGCATTATTACACAGTGTCTAGAAAAACAGACCTTCAAGTCTTAAATTTAAAAAAATGTTTGAATTTGCCTACTGACCCACTTAACATGTACCACACCTAAAAATGTTTTGAGCTATTTTCTAAAGTGGTATTTGGGGGGTAAGTTTGAAATTTTCAGGATACTGACATTTAAAATTTCATTTTGTTAGTTTGATTTTTGGTTTCATCAATTACAAATGTAGTAAATGGCTTAAAATAAGTGAATTTACTTTAGTAATACTATGAAAATCCCCTCAATTTGTTATCTAAAAAAACATTAAGAAAACTTCATTTTTTAAAAAAACATTATTCCAATATATACACCTACCCACATTAAAAATTACAGGTTGGCAACAGTAAACCAAGAATTAAGTTGGATTCACCACAGTCAGAATATGTCTCATATGCAGTATTTGACCATAAGTGAAAAATTATTTCGGTTTTACGCAATCAGTCGAGGGGACAAACTTATTTGGTCAGTGTGTAAGGACTAACTTTTAATGTTTTGCATAGGTGCAAATGTAATGCTCATTAGTTGAATAGTGTGCAAGCACTTAACATTCTAAGCTTATTTCTCAGGCTGGTCTGATACTAAGCATAATCAGTTGAATAGTGTGCAAGGACTATAATCCCAATCTTTCAGTAGGTTGCATGCAAGACTTACCATAATATCTGTCAAGTGGTGCCATCAAAATAATTTAAGTCATAGCACATTGATGTGAGAAAGTTATGTGAAAAATGTGAAAATGCAAAACCAAGGAAATCTTAAGATCCATACAATTTTAATCAGACTCATTTATGTATTTAGAATTGTGAAATATTTTTTCTTAAAACAGATGTGTTTATGCCTTCCTGTTATATGGTAAAACTAAAAACCTGACACTCCGGTTTGGTGAAAAAAATGTGGCATTAGACCTGATCAGAGGCACTATACATTCAGTCAGATCTAACATATTTTGCATAGACTGCCACAAATAATTTTTAAGTATAATAAGTCTACTAAGGATTTTTTAACTGCCAACAAAAAAAGTATAGTTAGTATCATAATCCCCTGAATATCTGCAACAGTTGTGAAGTTTATAAAATCATGAACTTTTGTAAGTTGATCCCGTCTTTGAGTACTGTAGTACCTTGACTTATAAAATGTTCAGATTGTAAAAAAGTATTGTAACGTTTTACTGTTTTAAATTAAGAGGGATAACTCTCAGTGTTTTTCATTTCTTCCAATGATAATACACAGGAATAAAGTTTACTGTTTAATGGTTTCTTCATAGCTTAAAATCCAAGAGGACAAACACAGTAAGTATAATAATCCATGTAAAATTTGTCTGAACTGATCGTATAACACATGAAAACTGACTGACCCCCCATCTAAAATTGCTTATATATTTATGCATAAACCTATTCAGGCCAGATTGCATGTGTGGAGCAATGTATTGTAAACAAATACCCATTGCTCATTGCTTGCGTGGAGCAATGTAATGTAAACAATACCCATTACTCATTTGGAGCAATTATGTTTACAATGTACAGTTACGTAAAATATCGCAACAATAT